TTATTCATCCATCTTCATGGGAAGGATAAGTTTGGCTTGGACATAAATGTTATGTGAGGCTCAAAACATCTCTAGATTCTGAGCCAACAGAGCAACATTCCTTTTCCTATACTTTCCTTGTTGGCCAGCTCTCTAATGATTAATACACTTCTCTTTATACATCAGAACATTCCACAGATTATAATCTAACTATAATGATAGTTCAGAGCTTCTGGCCTGGGAGTCATTCTGTTTCTTTCAGGTGACTTTGAGTCTCTCTTTTTTATCACTAAATTTATTTTTAATAGCAATTGAAATTAGCGTGAGATTTGTTCCCCTGTCCTTTGAGGTCTTGCATATTATCTAGTCACTGTTGCCTTCATATTTTGATAATACTCACATATTTGTACACACACACACACGCACACAAATATATTTTACACAGAGCATATTTATCAGGCATTTCTAAACAGTTAACCATGCAAGACCCCCAAACACTAACCCAAAATCTCTTTCACTTTTCTACTTGTATAAAAGCCAAGAACAGAGTCTTTGAAGCCAGTAAGAAAAGCACTTTGTCTTTCACTTTTTTAGCTAGTCCTCTTCTTTGCCACAGCTCTGTGTAGTCCTGAGCTCCTATCTAAGCTCACAGTTTCTGACCCCACCCAGCTATCAGCAGCCCAAGTCCCCAGAAGGAGAAAAACACTGGATCTGTCTACCTCTGTTAATTAAAAACAAACCAAAATAAAATAAATGCCCCCCAACCCCCAGAAAACAAATGAATACACAGAAGAAGAAGAAGAAGAAGAAGAAGAGGAAGAAGAAGAAGAAGAAGGAGGAGGAGGAGGAGGAGGAGGAGGAGGAGGAGGAGGAGGAGGAAGAAGAAGGGGAAGGGGAAAGGGAAGGGAAAGAAAAACAAACAAACAAAAAACAAAACAGGTGCAGGAAATAACTGGTGACATTAATGCCTAAATGGGGCTGGAGTAGAGAGAAGGGCTACAGTAGCTTGTTGGTCTAGTAATCTAAGAGGTTTTCCTTTCCCTCAGAGATGCCTCAGACTCAGTAAGATAGGGGTTGTGAAATTTTGGTTTCAGAAGGAGCCCTCCTGGGGCTAGAATTAGCAAAGGCTGAGAGGGGTGTGGGAGAGGAGTGATCATTAACTGCCCTTGCTAGATCAAAGGATCCTAGTTTCTCATAATTCCTCATGGTAGATGATCTTGTTAATGGGTGGGATCTAACCATACTGCTTCCATTTAAGGCCTGCATAGTTACCAAACCTCAAATTTATGCTGTTTGATAGATGCAGATTTTTTATTCAAGAAACATGCTATGCTATAGCTTCAGTATTGAGTATGCAAAGTACTGAAGATAACGTGACTAGGCAAAAAAAAAAAAAAAAATAGTCATTAACTTTTCGAAATTCAAAGTCATCAAGTCAAGGACTTCCCAATCTTGGGACACAGGATTCTAAGCCTTAAACCTAGAATAATCTCATTTGAATCAGTCGTAGGTAGAAATTTAAATATTGAGTTTATGTGTGCTTCAGAGCTACTATGTATGAACAAAGTTTGTAAATTACTACTTGACTAAAGTCTTGAGTAAGATCCATGAGATATGGACCAATGAGCTATAGTAGTGTGGTAGAGGGAAGGAAGATTAGCAAGCACTGGCTCTAATGATAGTGTCATTCCTTCTAACTATTCAGAGCTGTCTTAGTTCATAGAATATACTAGGCAATACTATTTAAACAACATAAAAAACCAGGAATTTCTCAAAAATTTAATCATAAAAATAAATGAAGACAACTTTGCTTAAGGTCAAAAAGCATCAAGGGAGCCAAGAAAGTGAAGTTATAAAATGGGAATATGGGAAGTTTCTGACTTTTCTAAGTTGCCAGATTCCAGCTTTAACCTTCAAGGTTCATCGTGTAGACAAGTGTACAATAACTGGCTGGTTCTGCCTTTCCACTCCCTCTTCCCAGTGAAGATTCTTCTTGCTTAATTAACACTCACATGCATCTCTGGCTATGCCTTAGTCACAGTGGTCCCAGAGGTCAGTCAAACCATCAATGTCTGTGTTATAAGCCTCCAACAAAAGAAATGCCTCTGAGAATGAGACCCAGCTTGGGTTCACAGTCACCTGCAACCTTTGTGAGATATGATGCAGAGGCCCAGCGATTACAAAGCAGTAGTGTTGCTTGACCAGTGGTCGTGGTCTATTCTCTCATTCTTTGCAATCATAACAGAAGATATTCATTGGCTCCCTGCATGGAAGCCATTAGAATTTCCTGCTACTCGTGGCACGCAATTTATTCTAGACTAATGCAACACTTAATAGGACTTTTATCCCATCTATTTCTGCTATAAGAAGATAAATTGAGATGCATAATGAAAGCAGACTAACTTATAGCTTCACTAATCAAGAATTCTAAGCAGCTTTTTTTGTACCTTCAGTGGTTTATAAACCCAGTCCATAATTTTCCATTTTAAAATTAAAAAAAACTCATTCGTGGTAAAGAATAACTTTTGAAGGATTTTTTCTCAGCTAATATTATGAAAAAATGTAGTGAGATCAAAGACCTATTTTATCTATTAACAATGTAACTTATATAATCCTCCATACTAATAGCACCTAAAGATAATACAGTATTTGGCTCACAGGATTAGCATATATGTCATAAATGAGATAGCAAGATTTAAGGAAATATTTTATTTTTCCTTGCTAAAAAGAGGCATCTTACATCTTTCTTAAAGTCCTGCGTAGAGTTTACCAAAGTACAAATGTCACAGGATATCCTAAGAGGCAGGAGTTAATCTTTAACAAATTTTGAAGTTTCTTTTAAAACTTTTCATTTAAATACCTTAAGAGATAACATTTTTATTTTATTAATTTTAATTTCTAGGCAATAAATGAATAATCTTAGTTTTTTTCTTTTTTCTGACCATTTAATCTTTCTGTTGTATCATGGATAATCACGTCATTTATCTCTCTAAACTTTGGGTTTTTCATCTAGGAAAAAGAGACAATAATCATGGTATTTCACAGGAGAAATAAATAAATACTTCAAAATGAGCAGCTGAGATAATTGAGCTTGAATCAACAAGCACCTAAGCAAAAATGAAAGTATATTCAGCTTAAGTGACTTCAGAATCAGAATTCATAAGCCTTGAACTGAGTTACAGACATGCTGCCTTTCAACCCTGTAACATTTCTTGAAGCCTTTTTCCACAACCTTTAGTAATAAGAAGGTAAGGGATGGGCCAGATCCTTGGAGGCAAGCCAGTTCTTTTCCCAAACGCTGTTACTAGAGAAGGATATATGAGCCCTGAAATGGGTATAAGGGAGGAGAAGGGAGATCAACCCCACACTCTGAATTTAAGAGAAGCCTGGTGTCCACACTCTGAACCGGAAGGAGAATGGAACACACTCATACTGTCTGCTTCAGATGAGGTTTGTTTCCCAAACTCTTGGTCTTGTGCAGCCTGGTTCTTATTCCCTGGGCTTTGACAATGTCTGATCCTCATACCCAAGGTCTAAGGGAAGGGTCATTGTACTCACACTGTGGATCTATACAAATTTGCCTTGGAAACCTAGAACCCTATCTCTACTGATTAAAAAATCATCCGTAATTTAAAAAGACACATGCACCCCTATGTTTGTAGCAGCACTATGTACAATAGCCAAGACATGGAAGCAACCTTCATGTCCATTGACAGATGAATGGATAAAGAGATGTGGTACTTATATACAATGGAATATTACTCAACCATAAAATAGAATGAAATAATGCCATCTGCAGCAATGTGGATGCACTTAAAGATTGTCATATTAAGTGAAGTAAGCCAGACAGAGAAAGACAAATATCATATGACATCACTTATATGTGGAACCTAAAAAAATATGATACAAATGAACTTATATACAACACAGAAATAGACCCACAGACATGGAAAACAAACTTATGGTTACCAGAGTTTGGGATTAACATAAACACACTACTATATATCGAATAGATAAACAACAAGGACCTACCATATAGCACAGGGAACAATACTCAATATTTTGTAATAGCCTATAAGGGAAAAGAATCTGAAAAAAATATATATATATAAAACTGAATCACTTTGCTGTACACCTGAAACTAACACAACATTGTAAATCAACTATACTTAAAAATAAATAAATAAAACTCTTATTCATACAAGGGCTATTCTTCACTGAGCAGCCAGATGCTTCTTGTCCTTTCATTGGTCCTCTACTTCAGTGATCAAATGTCTTCTCTCTCAACCTAGAATTCTGTCATCCTAGGTTACATAGTCTAGCCCAGGGATTCTTTCCTATCTTTCTTAAGGGGGGAATAAGCTAAGAAACACTTGTGAAGGTCACAGCCCAGGAAAACTGGTCCACTGAAGGCTGATTTTTAATTATACAATTATAGATGGCTTCTCCTCCACCATTCCTTACCACTATATCAACAGGACTCCAGTATAATAACAGAGGATTGCAGCTGGAAAAGTTGCAAGGTATATAATCCATTTCATGATGATGTGTTCTTAGGGAAACCCAGAGCCAACAGGGACATCAAAATACAAAAGAAAACAAAAAATAAGGACACTAGAGAAACTTGAAGTCTCCTGAACTGATGGCTTCAACAAACTTTAAACATACTCCAACTGCTAGCCTATCATATCAATTCATCTACTCCTCAGTTTGATCACAGATCCTGTTTTTAAATCATTTCAGACTCCTTAGCAGCCACGCTGGTATAAATGAGTACAGAATATCAAGAAGAGCACTCAGGGCAATGTCTCCAGAGTAGACAGTTTCCCTTGCTCTCATAGAGAAATGGACAGAGAGAGAGTTCCCTGGAAGCACAGGATGTAAGCTTATTCTACCTGTTCTGTCTATGAAATAATCTTTGGTTATGTCACTTTGGGATTGAGGTCTTAGTTCTATTGTAGATCCCTTGCATCTCCGCTCAGCTTCCTGAAGTAACCATGTATGTGTTTTTTCTCCCTTAGAAAACTAAAATCCAGAGCTTGGCTATAATCCACTCCTCAAGAGAGCTAGAACTGGCTGAGGTTCTGTGTCAACAATTGTATTTTTTTTTCTTGACTGTGTTTTTGTCCCTGTCACCATCTCACCATCCTTAACCCAAATATTAAACCTGGTTTGACTGGAACTCTATCTTGGGCTTAGCTGCATTCTATGGGTCTTTCTGGGATAAGGAGAGTGGGAGAGATGGATGTCATCATGGAGGATGACATGGGGAGAGAAGAGGGTGAAAAGAGAGAATGGATGAAAAATTGTGTTGAGGATGGAGGAGGAGCCAACAAAAGAAGGATGTTTCAGGAACCAACACATTATCACAGACTCAATATACATCTTCCTTGCTGACCATTTCCTGACCTGACTCCACCCCTGAGGGACACAGCTCAGCCTTGACCAATGACTTTAAAGGATTAGGGGGAACAAAGGGCCAGAAGTTCAGCAGTAAAGAATAAAAGGTCACACCTTCCAGCAGCAGCACAGACTTGCTTCTGACACTTCTGTGATCACCAGTAAGCTTCAAGACCTGACATCATGGTGCATTTTACTGCTGAGGAGAAGGCTGCTATCACTGGCCTGTGGGGCAAAGTGAATGTGGAAGAGGCTGGAGGCGAGGCTCTGGGCAGGTAGCAACTGGACTTCATGGGGGAGGATGGTGAATATGAGCCTGGTAAATTGACCAGGAAATTCTTCAAACTTTTTGAGTCACTGATTTTCCATCTGTTATGGTCTCATCTCATAGGCTCCTGGTTGTCTACCCCTGGACCCAGAGGTTCTTTGACAGCTTTGGCAACCTGTCCTCTCCCTCTGCCATAATGGGAAACCCCAAGGTCAAGGCCCATGGCAAGAAGGTGTTGACATCCTTTGGAGATGCTGTTAAGAACATGGACAACCTCAAGGGCGCCTTTGCTAAGCTGAGTGAGCTGCACTGTGACAAGCTGCACGTGGATCCTGAGAACTTCAGGGTGAGTTCAGGAAATGGTCATGTGTTCTTTTTATGCTTTTTACTTTGGAATAATAATGGAAGTTGAGTCTTTGGTTGCAAAGACTAGCAAAGATCTCAGAAATCATAGATCAAAGTTGGTGTTAAGAGGGCAGTATTCCAGTGGACATACCAAGAGCACCTTGATTCAGGACTAGTGACACTAAAGGGCTACTAGCCCTTTTAAGCCTGAGTTTGCTTAAAAGTTTTTGGGGACTTTTGTTAGAACTGGATTTGTTTACCCTAGAGAATATCAGAGAATAACAGACTTGTTCAAGGAGGAATGGAATCTGGGTTTTGGTAGATGAAAACCTGTCTCAAGGAAAGAGAAATGTCTTATTTTATGTGGCTCCTGATGATTGAAGTTTAGGAAGGTATTTGGGAGAATAATTTTTAGGCAGATTGTCTCAAAGAAATATCAATAAATTCTCTAAATATATTAAATTACCCATCAGTATTGGGACCAAGTGGAAGCTTATTCCTGCATTGGTTGGAGACTTTGCTAAACTCACTCTAAGAGCCTGTGCAGCCCTGAAATCCTGTGATGTCAAAGATTAGACAACTGGTAAACGTGAGAGGGAGGGAGAGAGGCAAATAAAAATGGTGAAATGGGAGAGAGTGAGGGGATATAGGTAGACAGAATGTGGAATGGAGGGCTCACAGAATTTAAATAAAATTTAAGAACTAGCTTATCAGAGTTTATTGCACAGATACAAACCATGGAGCAGTTTACGATGTGGAGTTCGGAGTGGGTGTAGGTATTAAGCCATTATTTTCGGCAGCTCTTTTAGGAAAATTCTACTCAACATATCTAACTGTCATTTTGTCTCTCACCTAACAGCTCCTGGGCAACGTGATGGTGATTATTCTGGCTTCGCACTTTGGCAGAGAATTCACCCCTGAGTTGCAGGCTGCTTGGCAGAAGCTGGTGGCTGGTGTTGCCACTGCTCTGGCCCACAAGTACCACTGAATTCTCCTTTCAGTTCACCATTTTTAGTCCCCAATGCCTTCCTTCTACACATGGGGATTGGAGTTTGGCCTTGAGAGCCCGGCTTCTCTTTAATAAAGTACATTCTGTTCAGTGATCAAAAATTAATATTGTATCTTCTCCATCATTTACTCTTTTTTTTAATTTTATATTTTTTTACATCTTTATTGGAGTATGATTGCTTTACAATGGTGTGTTAGTTTCTGCTTTATAACAAAGTGAATCAGTTATACATATACATATGTTCCCATATCTCTTCCCTCTTGCATCTCCCTCCCTCCCACCCTCCCTATCCCACCCCTCTAGGTGGTCACAAAGCACCGAGCTGATCTCCCTGTGCTATGCGGCTGCTTCCCACTAGCTATTTTACATTTGGTAGTGTACATATGTCCATGCCTCTCTCTCGCTTTGTCACAGCTTACCCTTCGCCCTCCCCATATCCTCAAGTCCATTCTCTAGTAGGTCTGTGTCTTTATTCCTGTCTTACCCCTAGGTTCTTCATGACATTTTTTCCCTTAAATTCCATATATATGTGTTAGGGTACGGTATTTGTCTTTCTCTTTCTGACTTACTTCACTCTGTATGACAGACTCAAGGTCTATCTACCTCATTACAAATAGCTGAATTTTGTTTCTTTTTATGGCTGAGTAATATTCCATTGTATATACGTGCCACATCTTCTTTACCCATTCATCCAGTGATGGACACTTAGGTTGTTTCCATCTCCGGGCTATTGTAAATAGAGCTGCAATGAACATTTTGGTATATGACTCTTTTTGAATTATGGTTTTCTCAGGGTATATGCCCAGTAGTGGGATTGCTGGCTCATATGGTAGTTCTATTTGTAGTTCTTTAAGGAACCTCCATACTGTTCTCCATAGTGGCTGTACCAATTCACATTCCCACCAGCACTGCAAGAGGGTTCCCTTTTCTCCACACCCTCTCCAGCATTTATTGTTTCTAGATTTTTTGATGATGGCCATTCTGACTTGTGTGAGATGATATCTCATTGCAGTTTTGATTTCTATTTCTCTAATGATTAATGATGTTGAACATTCCTTCATGTGTTTGTTGGCAGTCTGTATATCTTCTTTGGAGAAATGTCTATTTAGGTCTTCTGCCCATTTTTGGATTGGCTTGTTTGTTTATTTGTTATTGAGCTGCATGAGCTGCTTATAAATTTTGGAGTTTAATCCTTTGTCAGTTGCTTCATATGCAAATATTTTCTCCCATTCTGAGGGTTGTCTTTTTGTCTTGTTTATGGTTTCCTTTGCTGTGCAAAAAGCTTTGAAGTTTCATTAGGTCCCATTTATTTATTTTTGTTTTCATTTCCATTTCTCTAGGAGGTGGGTCAAAAAGGATCTTGCTGTGATTTATGTCATAGAGTGTTCTGCCTATGTTTTCCTCTAAGAGTTTGATAGTTTCTGGCCTTACATTTAGGTCTTTAATCCATTTTGAGCTTATTTTTGTGTATGGTGTTAGGGAGTGATCTAATCTCATACTTTTATATGTAGCTGTCCAGTTTCCCCAGCACCACTTATTGAAGAGGCTGTCCTTTCTCCACTGTACTTTCCTGCCTCCTTTATCAAAGATAAGCTGAACATATGTGCGTGTGTTTATCTCTGGGCTTTCTATCCTGTTCCATTGATCTATATTTTTGTTTTTGTGCCAGTACCATACTGTCTTGATTACTGTAGCTTTGTAGTATAGTCTGATGTCAGGGAGCCTGATTCCCCCAGCTCCGTTTTTTGTTCTCAAGATTGCTTTTGCTATTCGGGGTCTTTTGTGTTTCCATACAAATTGTGAAATTTTTTGTTCTAGGTTCTGTGAAAAATGCCATTGGTAGTTTCACAGGGATTGCATTGAATCTGTAGATTGCTTTGGGTAGTAGAGTCATTTTCACAATGTTGATTCTTCCAATCCAAGAACATGGTATATCTCTCCATCTATTTGTATTGTCTTTAACTTCTTTCATCAGTGTCCTACAATTTTCTGCATACAGGTCTTTTGTCTCCATAGGTAGGTTTATTCCTAGATATTTTATTCTTTTTGTTGCAATGGTAAATGGGAGTGTTTTCTTGATTTCACTTTCAGATTTTTCATCATTAGTATATAGGAATGCCAGAGATTTCTGTGCATTAATTTTGTATCCTGCTACTTTACCAAATTCATTGATTAGCTCTAGTAGTTTTCTGGCAGCATCTTTAGGATTCTCTATGTAGAGTATCATGTCATCTGCAAACAGTGACAGCTTTACTTCTGCTTTTCTGATTTGGATTCCTTTTATTTCCTTTTCTTCTCTGATTGCTGTGGCTAAACTTCCAAAACTATGTTGAATAAGAGAGGTGAGAGTGGGCAACCTTGTCTTGTTCCTGATCTTAGTGGAAAATGCTTTCAGTTTTTCACATTTGAGGACGATGTTGGCTGTGGGTTTGTCATATATGGCCTTTATTAGGTTGAAGAAAGTTCCCTCTATGCCTACTTTCTGGAGGGTTTTTATCATAAATGGGTGTTGAATTTTGTCGAAAGCTTTCTCTGCATCTATTGAGATGACCATATGGTTTTTCTCCTTCAATTTGTTAATATGGTGTATCACGTTGATTGACTTGCATATATTGAAGCATCCTTGCATTCCTGGAATAAACCCTACTTGATCATGGTGGATGATCCTTTAAATGTGCTGTTGGATTCTGTTTGCTAGTATTTTGTTGAGGATTTTTGCATTTATATTCATCAGTGATATTGGCCTGTAGTTTTCTTTCTTTGTGACATCCTTGCCTGGTTTTGGTATCAAGGTGATGGTGGCCTCGTAGAATGAGTTTGGGAGTGTTCCTCCCTCTGCTATATTTTGGAAGATTTTGAGAAGGATAGGTGTTAGCTCTTCTCTAAATGTTTGATAGAATTCTCCTGTGAAGCCATCTGGTCCTGGGCTTTAGTTTGTTGGAAGATTTTTAATCACAGTTTCAATTTCAGTGCTTGTGATTGGTCTGTTCATATTTTCTATTTCTTCCTGATTCGGTCTTGGCAGGTTGTGCCTTTCTAAGAATTTGTCCGTTTCTTCCAGGTTGTCCATTTTATTGGCATAGAGTTGCTTGTAGTAATCTCTCATGATCTTTTGTATTTCTGCAGTGTCAGTTGTTACTTCTCCCTTTTCATTTCTAATTCTATTGATTTGAGTCTTCTCCCTTTTTTCCTCGATGAGTCTGGCTAATGGTTTATCAATTTTGTTTATCTTCTCAAAGAACCAGCTTTTAGTTTTATTGATCTTTTCTATCGTTTCCTTCATTTCTTTTTCATTTATTTCTGATCTGATCTTTATGATTTCTTTCCTTCTGCTAACTTTGGGGTTTTTTGTTCTTCTTTCTCTAATTGCTTTAGGTGCAAGGTTAGGTTGTTTATTCGAGATGTTTCCTGTTTCTTAAGGTAGGATTGTATTGCTATAAACTTCTCTCTTAGAACTGCTTTTGCTGCATCCCATAGGTTTTGGGTCGTCGTGTCTCCATTGTCATTTGTTTCTAAGTATTTTTTGATTTCCCTTTGATTTCTTCAGTGATCACTTGGTTATTAAGTAGTGTATTGTTTAGCCTCCATGTGTTTGTATTTTTTACAGATCTTTTCCTATAGTTGATACCTAGTCTCATAACATTGTGGTCGGAAAAGATACTTGACACAATTTCAATTTTCTTAAATTAACCAAGGCTTGATTTGTGACCCAAGATATGATCTATCCTGGAGAATGTTCCATGAGCACTTGAGAAAAATGTGTATTCTGTTGTTTTTGGATGGAATGTCCTATAAATATCAATTAAGTCCATCTTGTTTAATGTATTATTTAAAGCTTGTGTTTCCTTATTTATTTTCATTTTGGATGATCTGTCCATTGGTGAAAGTGGGGTGTTAAAGTCCCCTACTATGAATGTGTTACTGTAGATTTCCCCTTTTATGGCTGTTAGTATTTGCCTTATGTATTGAGGTGCTCCTATGTTGGGTGCATAAATATTAACAATTGTTATATCTTCTTCTTGGATCAACCCCTTGATCATATGTAGTGTACTTCTTTGTCTCTTCTAATAGTCTTTATTTTAAAGTCTATTTTGTCTGATATGAGAATTGCGACTCCAGCTTTCTTTTGGTTTCCATTTGCATGGAATATCTTTTTCCATCCCCTTACTTTCAGTCTGTATGTGTCTCTAGGTCTGAAGTGGGTCTCTTGTAGACCGCATATATATGGGTCTTGTTTTTGTATCCATTCAGCCAATCTGGATCTTGTTTTTGTATCCATTCAGCCAATCTGTGTCTTTTGGTGGGAGCATTTAATCCATTTACATTTAAGGTAATTATCGATATGTATGTTCCTATTCCCATTTTCTTAATTGTTTTGGGTTCGTTATTGTAGGTCTTTTCCTTCTCTTATGTTTCTTTCCTAGGGAAGTTCCTTTAGCATTTGTTGTAAAGCTGGTTTTGTGGTGCTGAACTCTCTCATCTTTTGCTTGTCTGTAAAGGTTTTAATTTCTCCATCAAATCTGAATGAGATCCTTGCTGGGTAGAGTAATCTTGGTTGCAGGTTTTTCTCCTTCATCACTTTAAATATGTCTTGCCAGTCCCTTCTGGCTTTCAGAGTTTCTGCTGAAAGATCAGCTGTTAACCTTATGGGGATTCCCTTGTGTGTTATTTGTTGTTTTTCCCTTGCTGCTTTTAATATGTTTTCTTTGTATTTAATTTTTGACAGTTTGATTAATATGTGTTTTGGCGTATTTCTCCTTGGTTTTATCCTGTATGGGACTCTCTGTGCTTCCTGGACTTGATTAACTATTTCCTTTCCCATATTAGGGAAGTTTTCAACTATAATCTCTTCAAATATTTTCTCAGTCCTTTTCTTTTTCTCTTCTTCTGGAACCCCTATAATTCGAATGTTGGTGCATTTAATGTTGTTCCAGAGGTCTCTGAGACTGTCCTAAGTTCTTTTCATTCTTTTTTCTTTATTCTGCTCTGCAATAGTTATTTCCACTACTTTATCTTCCAGGTCACTTATCCGTTCTTCTGCCTCAGTTATTGTGCTATTGATCCCATCTAGAGTATTTTTAATTTCATTTATTGTGTTGTTCATCGTTGCTTGTTTCATCTTTAGTTCTTCTAGGTCCTTGTTAAATGTGTCTTGCATTTTGTCTATTCTATTTCCAAGAGTTTGGATCATCTTTACTATCATTATTCTGAATTCTTTTTCAGGTAGACTGCCCATTTCCTCTTCATTTGTTAGGTCTGGTGGATTTTTATCTTGCTCCTTCATCTGCTGTGTGTTTTTCTGTCTTCTCATTTTGCTTATTTTACTGTGTTTGGGGTCTCCTTTTTGCAGGCTGCAGGTTCGTAGTTCCCGTTGTTTTTGGTGTCTGGTTTGTCACAGACCTTGTGAGGATAGACTAGGGATGCGAGGGGTTGGACATCAGAGCAAGGGATAACTGTTTTTAAAGTCAACTCCAAAGTACTTGTTGTGGGATTTACTAAAGAACTGTCTGGTTAAAGTGATGAAAGCTGCCTAGGAATGTTAAATTGATTGCTGTTATCAGGAGAGAAATGTGTGCAGGTTGGCTACAGCATTTATGAAGAGAGATCATTGTAAACTGCTCAGAAAGAGTGATTATCTAAAAAGGGTGAGAGAAAAACAGGAGTTACAGGTAACTTCCAGAACTGTTGCCTGGTTTCCTGGAAAGATGGGTGGTTATTCCATGACACTCAGAGTTGCAGATGCCCCTGAGTCTGGGGGCTTGCAGGGTGCACATACTCTGCTGAAGATGGGGGTCAGGACCACCAAACATCAAGTACCTGGATCCACCCCAGCAGGCCAAACCCACACCTGAGTGTGACTGGAATTCCTAGCTGTAGTCATAGGTCCCTCTTCTTTATTTTATTTCATTGACCTCTTATGTTGAAGCAAATTCTTTCAGCATTAATTCAAACTCTTTTCTTCATATCTCTGTACCAAAGTGCTCACATTAACATAGCTTGGGATGGAGAGCTCACAGATAATCATGTCTGTCATGGTAAACCAGCTTCCAGAAACTTAGCAATTCTTATCCACATTTTACATTTAAGTCTTAAGTCTGAATAGATAAAAGCCTCTTGCTATATCAAATAGACAGAAAGGATTTATTTTCTAGTAGTAGAAATTCATCTATAATATACTGAATATATCGAGTTGAAGTTTTTAAATTTTAGAGTACCTCTGTAAATACACATGGAGATTATTTTTTTATTATTATTATATGTATATATATTTATAAGATTGATCTCAGGGAGTAACAAACAAACCAGCTTTCTGGAGGTCAAAATGTAGGAAAACAAATTCTGAAATAAAGAAACAAAATGAACCATTCCCTCTCCCACTACAAGTGTGCCTTTTCTGGTCCTGTAAATGCTTATTTGGATGCGTGAGACCAAAGTACCTTAGATCACAGTGGCAGTGGTGTGTGGAGTACTGTCAGTGAAGATTGCCTCTGCCTGATTAGATATGAAGAAACATTACACACAGCCAGAGAGTGTGGATTCAGCACACAAGAGACAACTCCATTATTCTATAGCCATTGCCAAAGAGGATTCTAATACTCTCTTCACTGAACACAGGAACACCTATTTCCCCAACGGCCAGTTGTGTATTCTCTGATATAAATGCATAGATACATGTATTGGCCAGAGACACTTGTCCATATAATCAGAGTGAAAAAAATTATTCAGGCAAGTGCATATATTATTGGTAGAACTCAACAACAATGGGGTGGTGCTCAATTTTTCTCTAAATTACCCAGTTTTTACCTATCTTATTTCTAAACAGATTCTGGATTGAGGTCTTTTTTCTTGGTTACAAGAACTATAAAATTATGAGCCCCATATAAGCTTTAGAAGCATTGGTAACCAAGAAGAGCTGTGACTTCTTCCATACCCTGGCTGAAGAGCAGAACAATGTCTTGTAAACACCTGATACAATGCTCAACAGAGTTCTAATTGTTACTCTTCCTAATTCTGTTTATGCCTTATGGTCAATTCAGGGATGGTGGCAGGGAGCTTGAGATATGAATTGCACGGTAGATGGTAGGAGAGAGGACAGCAGAATCCCCCTGATAGAGCCACCCAACACTATCAGAGACACAAATGTCCATCCAGCCGACCCTCCCTTGCCCAAGTCCCATCCCTGGTGGTGACAACCCACCTTTGAAAAATAGTCTCATTTTATTGGGAGAAGTAAGGGCCTGAGGACAAGAGATGAGGAATAAAAGGCCATGCAGAGAAGCAGCAGCACAGACTTGCTTCTGGCCCATTAGTGATCACCAGTAAGCTCCCAGACACCATGGTGCATTTTACTGCTGAGGAGAAGGATGTTGTTGCTAGCCTGTGGGCCAAGATGAATGTAGAGGTGGCTGGAGGTGAGAGCTTGGGAAGGTAAGCACTGGACACAGGTAGGACAGGGGGCAGAAAGGCAGAGATTTTTCCAGAAAGACGGATTGGTCAGGTTTCTTACATACTCTGACTTCCCATCTGCTCTGTGACTATGACCATCCCATAGGTTCCTGGTTGTCTACCCATGGACCCAGAGGTTCTTTTACAATTTTGCTAACTTATGCTCTGAGTCTGCGATAATGGGCAACCCTAAGGTCAAGGCCCGTGGCAGGAAGGTGCTGACCTCCTTTGGAAATACCATTAAACACATGGACGACCTCAAGGGCACCTTTGCACATCTAAGTGAGCTGCACTTTGACAAGCTGCATGTGGATTCTGAGAACTTCAGGGTGAATTCTGGGCATGCTTGTGCTTTGTTCTTTTATCCAGGTATCTGTTCTGTGGTTACAGTAGGGAACACAGGTACTTAAGTCTTATCGTATAGAGGTATTTTTTGGAGGTAATATTTCAGGAAAAAGCTTGATTTTGGTAGTTAGGCTGTTCCTAAGGTCAAAGGTAAGACCAAGTAGAGTAATTAATTATGCTATGACCAGTGGAGGCCACTGGCCATCTGATATTTCTTAAAAATAAATGTCGTGAAGAGCACTGGACAAAAGTGAGCTAAATAGTTTGGCCTGGAGAATACAAATCGAGCCAGGGAGAAGAACACCTTGCCTTTGATAACTGAAATTTTCTATAAAAATTGATGAACACATTTCTGCATGGTTCTTGAGCTTTGAACCAGGAGTAAGCAGGGCAAAGTAAGAGCGACTTTTTCATGGTTTGCCCCTCCTCCTCTCAACTCCAGCAATGATGAAATGCTCTTGTATACAAAGCACTGGATTCTTTGTCAAATGGGTGTCCAAACAATTTGAATGTATGCAATATCTGAAGACTTAGACTACGCGTATCAAGCCCCAGCACTATAATCCTACTTTTAAAAAAGGAGAGAAGCAATCCACAGCAATGCTCTGGGGTCGGAAGTTGGCAGGGAAAATGAGAGAAGGATAGAACACATTGGGGGTTCAGGACTGGGAGTCACTGAAGCCAATGTCAAGCATAAAATGATGCACTTTTGTGGGAGCATGACAATGAAAGTTGCTCAACCTCTTATCAAGAAGGAAAGGGATGTTATATCTATTTGCTGTAAGGGCAGCTTGAGACTTTCTGTTCACTATGCACTATCTTCTTTTTATCCCCAGCTTCTAAGCAACATGATATTGATTGTCTTGCAACCCACTTCAGTGAGGAATTTACCCAAAAGACACAGGCTTCCTGGCAGAAGCTGACAGAAGCTGTGGCTAATGCTGTGGCCAACAAGTACCAGTAGTTGCCTGGCCATCTATGTTGGTGCCTACCTGAGGGCCCTGGGTCCCAACAGTCCATCTCCTGAAGGTGGAGGGAGAGAGCCCTGCCTCCAGACTTAACTCCTATATAATACAAATAAAATAAAAGTCATGCTCTGTAAGGAATATCCTTGTATTTTCTCTCTGTCTTTATCTTTTATAAGTTGATTCAGCTAAAAGAAAGCACTCCTATTGTAATGAGAATATTGGAGATTGAGAGTTTGGGGATGATAGAGAAGGGACCCTTATAAGATTCTACGGGATAAGAGTGGCTTCAAAGGGTAATTACTCCTAGGAAGGGAAACTAGACTCTTGAGTTGGACAAGGTCTTTAGAAAAAGGAAGGAAATGGAATTACTCTTGAGAGATGCAAGATGATTATTGATAGTGTGTTAGGACACAAAGTAGGGGACCTGTATAGGCTGTTATTTGTATAAACTCAGGATAGAGTTCTTTTTGGACTACAGCTCAGTTCTATTTAATATAAGAAACATCTTTTTAGCAGCTATAATGCAGTGAAGATGGTACTTTTTAGAGACCCAGTTAAGGACTCTGCTCTCAACTTTTTCCTAGCATCTTCAATGGTACTAATGAAGGCAACATCCCTAAAGCATATGAACTGGCAGCTTTGGTTTGAATCTGTCATCACCTGGTAGCTCTGTACCTAAAACACATTTCTAATTCTATTGGTAGAGATAAAGGCCATTTATGAGGGAAAATGACAAATTCAAGAATCAGCATGCCAGGTCTAATTGACAGAGGAGAAACTGGCCCATTAAAAGCAGTGGGGTGGTATAAAATTAGAGAATCTGCTAGAGAGACCAGAAAAAGAAGGAAAAGAAGCTATTGTTGCAAACAAAATCACTAGTGAGGTTTCTTGCACACCAGAGTGACATAATCAATAGGGTATTTTAGGGAAATTGATCCATGTGTGGGCATAGACTTGACAAGGCAGAATCTACCCTGAATCTGGGCGTAGGAATTTGCTGTGAGTATAATGAAGTGATAGGTAAAAGACTAAACTTGACAGGAGCAGTGGTACTAAGAAAAAAATCAAATAAAGGACCGCTGTGGCAAAGATGCTGCAGGACTTGAAACATAGCGAAATAGAGAGTGGAAAAGTCATGGAGGATAGCCAGGTTCCCTGTCTAGTGAATGCAAAGAGGAAATCTATTGACAGAAGAAGAAAAAACCTAGATGTCTCTTACTTAGAGCTGGCAATGGGCATAGCCACCTGTGTAAAAATCACTTCAAATTTCTCTACTGAAGTCCCTGGCATGAAGTGAAAAGCCAGGGCTTTTGGATTAACAGACAATGTCAAATTATTGCCCCATTGGCTTGAAACATTTAGTTAACATTTTTCAGAATTAATTTCCTTGTTTGTAAATGCGATAATTATCCCTACCCCACAAATACATTCCAAGGTTTCAAGGAGATATTTGTAAAGTGCATTGTCTGTCATTTTTGAAAAGGTAGTGGTAGTGGTTTATATGATGCATTATGATCTGTTCCTCTGTGCCCTGCTTTTTTTTTTTTGCGGTACGTGGGCCTCTCACTGTTGTGGCCTCTCCTGTTGTGGAGCACAGGCTCCGGACACGCAGGTTCAGTGGCCATGGCTCACGGGCCCAGCCACTCCGCGGCATGTGGGATCTTCCCGGACCAGGGCACGAACATTGGCACTGGTGGGCGGACTCTGAACCACTGTGCCAGCAGGGAAGCCCTGTGCCCTGTTTCATTGTATATTCTTGAGCTGATTGCATTATTTCTGAGCTTCAGAACTAGATATCTAACTATTTGCTTAATATCCCATTTTGGATTGCTCAAAAGTACAACAAATACAGTATGTCCAAGACCGAACTCCTGATCTTTTCCTAATTTACTCCTGCTAACTGACGCTTCTTTTTGTGTTCCCCTTCTTAATGACTATCCCATCATCAATTGCTCAAGCCTGAAAATAGAGGTGTTTTTACTTCCCTCCCTAACACAATATCATCCTATTTGTCTCTCATTTATTTTACCCCCATGTCCACTGAAGCCAAAATAATACAAATCAAATCATGCCGCTCCAGTCCTTGAATTTTTCAAGTTTTATTTGACTTTCAGGTTAAAGAAAAAGAAACTGTAACATAGTGTAAAGATCGTTCATAGCAACTTCCTATCATATAACATTCCCCCCTGGTCATCTGAATTACAGTCACACTGTCCATCTTTCTATATATAAATCATATAATTTGAATTATTATCCCTGGTAATTTTTAATCAACATTATGTTGTGCAATTAATCTGTATTACAGCATGTAATACAGATTCTTTTCATTGTTGTATAATATTTCATCCTTTTACCATAGTATAATTTATCTATTCCACTAAATGAGGAACAATTAAGTTGCTACTGAATTGAGATTCTGAGGCATATTGATGTTACAAGCATTCCTATACATGTCTTTGGATGCACACAAGCAAGCATTTCTGTATATCTAAAAGTATAATTGCCAGGTCATAGGTGCTGCATATATTCTGCTTCAGTAGACACCACCAAATATTCTCAAAAGCAATTATACTGTTTTACACTATCGTTAGCAAAGTATAAAAACTTTTCTTTATCTACAGCCTTGCAAAATTTTGGAATTGTCCATCTCTCCTCTTCTTTATATTCTTTTCCCTCCTCCTTCCCTTTCATTCCATTATTTTCCCTTCTCTTACTCCTTCCATCCCCTCCCTTCTTCCCTCCTTCCTTTGTGCCTCCCTCCCTCCCTCCTTCCTCCCTCCCTCCTTCCTCCCTCCCTCCTTTCTTCCTTCCTTCCTTCCTCCCTCCCTCCCTCCCTTCCTTCCTTCTTTCCTTCCTTCCTTCCTTCCTTCTTTCCAGCTATGCTGGTGGGTCTATATTTGTATACCATTGTAGTATTATTTTGAATTGAGAAAAGAGTGAAATTCGCTTTCAATCTTCATTCCTGGGTCCAACTCCACATTTTTCTTGAGGACCCAGCTGTGGAAATTTCTGCACTTGGCGTTTTCCCAGAAACCCTGTTGGACTTTAACAGGCTGAATAAGATAAATCTTGTTTGCAATTCCTTTGCATTCTCTCTTTAGTCACATCATATATTTAAGTACTTATGCAATAGGTATCACATATTTTTCTTTATTTCTCATTAAATTGTTCCCATTATAATGCATGCTCCCCAAACCTATTTCAGTAGGTGGTAGAGAGACAATATTTATTACTTTTCTTTCACTTAATGGACATTTGTTTCAATAAAGGGATGGGAAAGGAAAGAATTTTGTGACCCAAAGTATTATACAAAGGAGAAAGAAAGTTAAATCTATGGCAAAATATTTATCCACTCCAACCACTTATAAACATATCTAGAAACAAAGTGAAGCTCCATATAGAGTCAACTTCATAAAAATTTTGCTTTCTAGGTTTCAGTTTTCTTATGTATGAATTGAAAGAGTTGGATGGGTTAAACTGTAAGATACATTCCACAATGTTGACTAAAACATTTATGCATAAATGAGACTGACAGTATATTTGTAGAAGCTACTGATGAAGGAAATGAAGCTGGGAGGTAAGTACAGGGAGAGCAGGGTTTCTGAGTCCCGACGCACTGGACCAGACAATCACAGATGAAGGGAACTGAGGAACAAGAGTGCATCTCACATTCCCCCAAACCAATGAACTTGTGTTGTGCCCTGGGCCAATCTGCTCTCAGAAGCAGGGAGGGCAGGAAGCTGGGTGGGGCTTAAAAGGAAGAGCAGGGCTAGCGGCTGCTCACACTTGCTTCTGACACAACCGTGTTCACTAGCAAC